GGACAGCCAGGCACAAGAACAGTTTCTTTCCCCAGGCAATCTACCTCATGAACAGTTAATGTTCTCCCATTGTGCAATTAAAGTACAGCATGTGCAATAACCTTTTTTTTCACCCTAAACCCTAGTACATCCCTACAACTTATTTTAATTTATTCTATTCCCATTCCATCTATAGCACACCTGTACATACAAGTTATTCTTTTTTGTGGTTTACATTTATGCATGTGTATTTTATTCACATCTATACATTTATACACATTCTCAATTATCTGTGTGTTGTTGTTGTCTCCGTGTACTGGAAGCTTGTGACACTATAACAAATTCCTTGTATGTGCAAACATACTTGGCAATAAAGCTCTTTCTGATTTCTGATTATGAAAAGAGGACACGACTAGAAATCAGTGGTTAAGTTGTATTTACAATACTGTTCCAGAACAGTTCAACCCAAATATTCAGATGTGTGCAGCACATTTTATGGAGGACTGTTTCCTGATCCTGGTAGAGTAGACTACAATGCCGGCTGTTCTGACTCACAGACTGTAAGTACGTTTTTATATTTAAAGAATTTGCCACTGATGATTCAATCGCGAGTTTTGAGCAGTGTAGAGTAGCGTTTGTATTTTGTAATTTCTCAGATCACAAATGCAGACATGGTTTTATGTTTGATGCAATGCAATGCGTAAAAAGACAGTATAAGTCATTATAATCCGTAATTATGTCTCCACTGGATGCAACAAATGCCCCGTTTATAATGGCTTTTAATGTTTTTGTCTCGTAGCTCCGGCCGGGACAAGGCATCACAATATGGTAAGGGGTGTAACATTTCCGTCACACGCTTGAGGTATTCGGCCAATCACAATGCACTGGATAGCTGGCCAATCAGAGCACACCTCACTTTTCAGAGCGATGAGCTTTGTAAAAATCGATGCGTTTCAGAAAGGCGGGGCATAGAGGAGAAACAATAATGTACAGTATGTGGAAACTAATGTTTTTTTAACCTTAAACTGCATAAACACATTTCATTACACCAAATACACAAAATAATGTTCTTTTTAGCAACATCATATGACCCCTTTAAGAGTTATAAAGGGGTTGATTAACATGAGTTAAGGGGGAAAATTGGCAAATGCAAAAGTGCATTTAGGTTCCTAATTCTTTAGCAATGCTCAACGTATGAAACAGGCAATGCATAGGTTTATGTAATGCACGACACTGTCATGCGCCTGTGTAACACTCGATAAGATCTTACTGCACTCCATTAAACTGGCCAACTCACAGATCTTGAAGCTGACAATGTCACTGGAAATGCAGGACAAATTTTAATTTCTATAAACAGCTATTGGTTGCTTCAGACTTTGTTTTGTCATATGCATAGCTGTCTTGGAGATTCAGGTCAGATCTCAGTGTTGTTGTGTGAAATATCTCTGTGTATGCCAAATATGAACTTAATCCTGGTCCGAGTATTTACAAAACAGCATTTTTTCCTAGGTATGTGATGAAGTGATTTTGAAATGCAAGCAAATGAGGAATGTCAAGAGCTTATATTCTTGTGATTTTGTGGTGGAATTGGTAGAGAAAACATCAAGTTCAATACAACAGTTTTTTTTTTTCACAATTTGCATTTATTACATTATTTTGGTCAATTGAAATAGTTTCCATCATTTCGTGTCAACACTTCTTGATTTTTTTCAAAGGCCATGACACATGTTGATAAATAAGTAAAAAATACATTGCTATACCTTCAATAAATACTTAATAAATATATTAGTTAGGTCTATACAATTACAAAAAACATTGCAAACAAAGCAAACTATTCTACAGAAATACTGTATTGTTACAGTCCCTGATAAAAGACAAGTTTCCTTGAGTAAGGACCCAACCAGGGTTGTCAAAACATTAACTTGACAGCTCTTGTCCAATATAAATATATGGTTTTTAGGTTTGTTTCTTAGTTTTCTTGTACAAAACAGGTACCTAACATCATAATGCTTTGGTTAAAATGCTACATGGAAACATTCACCCGGTATTGATTTGTAAAGTGCATTCTTTGTGAGTGAATGTATGGTCATTTTCTTAACTTTGTCACATTGTTGGTAGATATACACAAGTTGCAAATTATTTGGGGAACTGACTTCTTCCAAAAATGGCCAGAAATTCCTTTAAAAAGTCAACCCCCTAATTCACAAACTGGATATATGATATATATACATACATAATTCTATAGCCACACCCATACATTATATATATATATATATATATATATTTGACACAAGCTCTTCTTATGCCACTAGCATAGGTTATGATATTTTAAGGCACTTGCTGCAATGCTTACTGCCAAAAAAAACGTCGAAAAGCAAGAAAAGCAAAAGCAAATGGAAGACAATGTCACAGAAAATGGCTAATATTATACCGTTATAAAAACCATGTCTGCTTAGGCTTTGGAGGGTAGCTTGGTATCAAAATAATCTCCTTTAGCGATATATATATATATATATATAATAAATTAACAGTATTAAAACTCGTTGCACATTATTTTTGACTGATTGAATGATTGGGAAGGAGTGGTGGTAAAGTCCTCCTCAGTCAGACACAGACATCCGCGTGAAAACAGACAGGCGCTTCCCGCTCGAGCCGTCGAAGGAGGGAGACTCGGAGCCGCTGGAGCTGCCGGTGCTGCTGTAACTTTCACGGTCTGACAGCGAGTCTTCCGAGGAAAAGCGCTGCAGGTTGGCTTTGCTCAGGTCTTCCTTCATGTACAGCCCATTGCTGGAGCCCTGGAAGTTATTTCCGTGTCCGCAGACACACCGCGACCGAGGCTCTGGCGTGAAGGGCGCGTTGCTGTAGATATCTCCGGTACTGTGACGGCTGAAGAGGAACATGTCGCGGGAAGAGTCGCTGAAGACCGGGGACAAGATATCAGCGGGAGGAGGAGAGACCGAAGGCGCACGGGTGAAGCTCAGGGGCTCGTATAAAGTCGGGGGAGAGTTGCTGCGAGTGAAACCGGCGAAGCTGACGCTTTGACGCAGCTGACGCGGGTTCTGGTCGAGCGGCAGAGAGTTTTCCTTGTCGTGGAGGAAGTGACAGCGGCTTCCGTACGGACAGTATCCAAACTGGTAGAAAGTGCGACAGGCTTGAGTTTTGTATTTGGGATGACGGTACTGCCCTCGCAGCTCGCTCTCGCCGTGTGCGAACTGACATTTGCTGCCGTATTTGCAGCTGCCGTGCTCTTGAAAGCTTCGGCACAGCTCGGTCTTGTACCGGTTCGAGGGCAGGGGTGCCAGCGGGGGAAATCCGGGCGGTGGGGGCACGTCATGGGGCTTCATTCTGTTGAGGGTGTCAGTCAGACTCATGGATCGGTCTGCTTTAATAGGAAACTGGGGGTTGCTGGGTTGGCTCCAGGTGTCCGCCGGCCAGACGTCGTCGGTGAGCCGCTCGGAGCTGACGCTCTTCGGTGCGACCGGGCGGGATAGGTTTAGAAACGGCTCCTCTAAACCCAGGTTGATAAGATTCTGGAAAAGAAAGAATAACAATATGAATCAGGAGGATGAAAAATACTTGCCAATTTTAACACGGTGCCAAAACGACAAACCAAAACAAAGCATGTAAACTCAATTGCATTTACCCGGATAAGACTTTCGCCCAGCGTATCGGACATAGTGAAGTGTTGTAGTAAAGGAATGTTGCTGTCAAAAGTTGCGAACGAGCGCTGGAAGCGTTGTGCTGCTTTCAATAGTCTCCCAGCTCCGTTTTATGCTAAAAAAAAAAAGAAAAAAAAAAAAAAACAAAAAAAATAGTGGGCGGGGCGAAAATATTCCCGTATGCCGCTCCCACCGATTGCCGACTTTGTAAAGCACGGAGTATTTTTAGCCAGTGGCAAAAAAAAAAAAAAATGTTTCAGTTTCACCAACAGGCAAAACAAGAGAGTATTGTGATTAATTTACAGTAACCTGTCGCGTTAACTGCCCCGACAGACGTTTCCCACGGCCTACAGAACCCCATTTGGTTGAGAACGATACTTTCCAGCATGTGTTTTTCTTACCACATTAATGTGGGACGAAATCAAATCCACAACAGGTTGAAATAATTAAGAACACTTTACATTTAAATACACATTTTTTTCTTGAATACTTTGAGTGTATACAACAATACAACATTGAGTGGTCATATGTTTATGAATAATGGCCGTAACTGACCTTTCCAGGTAAGGTAAATATAATTTCATCTCAAGTATAATCTAATCTCTATCTATCTATCTATCTATCTATCTATCTATCTACTCTATCTACTCTATCTATCTATCTATCGTCTGTCTGTCTGTCCTGGTTTCATTTTTATGGTATCAGTTTGACTCATGTTGTATGAAGGCTGCACTCCTGCCACTTGTGGCCATGGTGAGAACAGTTATTATTATTAACAAAAACAACAGCAACAAAAAAATGATACTGGAATTTTTTAGTTTGGAGGATAAAATAGAAAATCTTGGTGTTTGAAACCAACAAACATTTATGCAATTATGTATGCTTTATTTTTGTCCGAGATATATTGTGACAATTTTCTTGTGTGACAAAACTAGCCCCAACTAAAACTAAAATGAAATAAAATATTTTCTGTAAAACATTTTTTTTTTTTACTAAATGGATAGTATTTACCCAGCTTAAAAAGAGGAATGTTTAACTAACATTATTAAAAGTTCTCTGAACATTCAAATCATGTTCCATTTTATTTCATTTTGCAAACATTATGGGAATGTTTCTGAGAAGCATTTTTTTAATGTTCTCTGAAAGTTCTAAAAAAAAAAAAAAAAAAAAAAAAGTAGTGTGCATTAATGTTTAATAAGCATTAGAAAAAACGTTCCATGAACATTCAAATTCCATGAATGATGTATAAATACCGCTTATGTGCTAACATTTTGAGAGTGTAACTAAATACCTGATAACCTTGAATTAATGTTCTTTTACACTTACTGGAGGAATATTTGTTCATAACTTTGAGAGAACCTTGCCAGAACATTCGCCAAAGTTCCCTGTTAGTTGGGAACATAATGGCATCTGTGTAATTTGTGAGTATGAGTGGCCTAAACACTTCATGACCACAGAAGCACAAATGTGACTCACTTCACTTGTGCTCATTAATTGCTGATTCCTCTGGAAATTTAAGCAAATGTTGCCTTCAGTCATGTAGACGTGTTGACTGATATTCATTTGTTACATGGTCAACTTCATCTGTAGTTGCTGCATTGACTAAGGCAGCTAAAACAGGCACGTCATCTCATGTTCACTTAAAAATAGCTGCCTCTCTCCATGACTTTGTCCAATTTGGCTGGGCATGGATGTTAAAAATGGTGCATGAGACATGGAAATTCTCACTTGTGTCATCAGACACATTTCTTTAGGGATCTTGGCTCCCTGTTTTCCTGTGCCTCTCTCCATGACTTTGTCCAATTGAGACATGGAAATTCTCACTTGTGTCATCAGACACATTTCTTTAGGGATCTTGGCTCCCTGTTTTCCTCATTGGCGGCGTTCCCACAAGAACGGAAACTCTTCCTCATCAACCATCAGTGGTTTATTTTGCTTGCTCATGATCACATGCTCGCCATGTATTCAAACAAACATATAGATGGTTGCACAGATGCTTTGAGCTTTCCTTTCTTGTATGTCATCTTGACCAGTGAGGGGATTTCCTAAATGGAGCTATTACACATTTTATTACTCCACCTAAATTAGAAATCGGACTCATATTATTTTCAAAACTACTTAGTTAGTGTGTTCTTTGTAGTGATGACTTTACTGGGCCTAATTTAATATAGTCTATGCTGCTACATGTTTTGGCCAGCCCGATCTCACGGCAATTCGTACATATTTTACGAGGTGGCTAATTCGTACGACCTCACAAATTCATATGATGTTTGCTAAATCGTACGTATTTTACGAGTTGCACAATTCGTATTAATTTGTACGAATGACCTACACCTAACCCCGCCCCTAAACCTACCCGTCGCTGGGGTCAAGGCTGGTTGTTTAAGTCTTACTAATGTTTAAATCATAACATTACTAAGATGTACAAATCGTACGAGTGGGGCCGTACGAATTAGCCACCTCGTAAAATATGTATGAATTGGCCATGAGATAGCGTTGGTTTTGGCTTGTAATGTGAGAAGTTGGCTCTATGGGAGGCTCTTCAAACCAAAAGAGACATACTGCCTGGTCAGAAAATGGTTGTTTAAGTCTTACTAATGTTTAAATCATAACATTACTAAGATGTGTGTTTGATGTCCAGGTTGTCGAAATCGTACTAATGTTTAAATCATGTGATAATATCAGTCATGTGTTTGGTGCTTCATCCATTCACCTGTATATATTCACCATCCATCCTGTATATAATTCACCATCCATCCTGTATATAAAAGACTCAGCAGGACCAGGACAGTGAATTTGGGCCAAGGTCAAATTTAGATAGCCTCTGTAGGGAAAGTACCTCACTTTCTTGTTCTGCGATTAGTCAAATCTGGGTCAACTGAGCGAATTTATGAGTGTGTTCCCCTCTATTGAGTGATTGTTCCTGGTCTGGTATTATATGTTTTAGTAGAGGTTTAATTAATTTATCTCTTATTCCACTTTTACTTCCGGGAAAATGCTGACTGTATTATTTAAGGAGGAAGTTTTAGAGATATGAAATATCTGGTATATTTGTCATTGTCCTCTTACATACACCTGGTTCATTTCCTTTTTGATTAACCCTTGTGTAAATTCAGTAAGACAAAACTCAAAGCAAAATATTTTTGTACATAACACTTATAATGTTATTATTTACCAGTTACAGGGCTCATGGGATACATTTTATACATTTGTTTATTTAACAATTTAATTTATTTATACTGTGATGCTGCACTGAATTTTAATCAGCCATTACTCCAGTCTTCAGTGTCACATGATCCTTCAGAAATCATTGCTGATTTATATGCTTAATATTTTTCGGGACCTGTGATACTGTTTTCTTTGATTCTTTGATGAATAAAAATGTATTTGATTTATTCAAAATAGAAATCTTTTCTAACAATATAAGTCTTTACTATAACTTTTTTTATCCATTTAACACATCCTTGCTGAATAAAAGTATTAATTTCTTTTTTTTTAAAGAAAGAAAAAAAATGTATTGACCCCACACTTTTGAATAGTGTATATTGTAGCATTACATTTATATTTTGAATAACCACTGTTCTTTTTAACTTTTTATCTATCAAGGAATCCTGAAAAAAGTCCCCCCCCCAAAAAAATTAAGCAGCAAAACTGTTTCCAACATTGATTATAAATCAGTATTTTAGAATTATTTCTGAAGGATCATGTGACACCGAATTTCATAAAATTACATTTTTTTTCTGTATTTTCTGTATTTCCTGTAACAGATACAGCCTTGATGAGCATAAGAAATCTCTTTAAAAAACATTAAACATCTTATGTAATGTATTGCTCAAATATTCAATCACATATCATCCTGCAATTAAATATTTGTAATCAATTTCCTTATTCCTCTATTGTGAAAAGTATATTAATTTAATTACACAAGTTTATTGCCTATTTTGCACTACAACCTATTGCCTTTTTAAAACTAATGCCTATTTAGCTCTAAAACATTTCTCAGCATGTTAGAAGGTGTACTTCACATCTATTATATATAATAATATAATGTTATATATATATATACTGTATATATGAATGATCTGAGTTATTGCATTTATTATAGCATATTGTTATTATATTCTTAATTACATCAGTATTTAGTCCATTTACTTATTTATTAAATAGTTGTGTAATAGTTTAGACAATCATAACTAATAATCAGCTTTGTGTTGGGGTTCGTAATGACTGGCCAGGCTGGGTAAACATTATTCATAATCCTTTTTTTCCCTGCTGTGAAATACATGCCAGCTATATCTCATAAGGTAACGTAATAAAGCTTTTTGGCAGTTTTCAAGGCAGCACAATTATTTAAACCGCTATAATATATCAGTAGAAACAGCAGCTTAAAGGATAACTTAGCAACTGTAAAGTTCATGTGTTTGCACTTCTCTCCTCTGCTCTGTTTTCACTTAGGCCCTTTAGATTTTACACATCCCTCTGAAACACATTTCCACAGTGTGAAATATTCACTGAGGAACAAACTTAGCCTTATCCACCAAATACCACCCTTCGCTCTGTGCAATAACTCTGTTTATGCAGTCCATGTGTTTATACACACACACACACACACACACACACACACACACACATAGTTGGCCAGTACAGTTGCACTACTATGAGTCTTCTGACTGAAATCTCTCACCAGCTCTTTTAGATCCTCAACATGAACATCTAAGCCCACCATCTGCCATTTGAGAAGCTTTGTTGGAGGCCAAGCCAAAACAAATGAACTAAAGGTTTCCTGGTGTACTAGATATGTTTTGCAGAAGCCCTTTTTGGCACTGACACACTCTTAAAGCTCTCACATTCCAATAGTAGACTCCGCTGGCATTCTCTCAGCAAGCAATGACCGACTGATAAGGTTCTGAAGACTTTCTGATTAAAATATGCTTATGGAAACACAATCATGTGTCATTCATCATGCATCATCATTATTACAAATATTTAATTTCAAATATGACATACAAGTTTCAGTAGAAATGACACTGAAGTACACTTTAGTTTACCATAAATGCTTGTCAGTACATTATGCAGTACATTTACTTTAATAAACCAT